CCCTACTCAGGGCTTTTTTTGTAGAAAAAGCCCAGCAGGAACTCATTAGCATAATTGGCCACACCCAAAAGCAGAAACTCATTAGCATATTAGGCCACACCCCTGACGGCACAGATCATTAGCATATGAGGCCACACCTCAGTGTTACCAGAAGTGTGCTCATCCAGCCACACCCACCTTTCGCTTCTTATTCTGTTTACCTTGTTTGTTGTCAAAACCCAGGCCTTTTTTGTAGCAGGAACTCCTTTGCATGTTAGGCCCCACACCCCTAATGTAGCCAATCCTAATGAGTTTCTGCTGTTGGGTGTTGCCTATTATGCTAATGAGCTCCTGCTGGGCGTGGCCAACTCAGGAGCCAGCCGGAACTCCGTTCCTGTGCGTTCCTGCCCAAAAACAGCCCTGCCCCTACTAGATCAGACCATCTAGTCCAGCATCCTGTTTCACATTAGCCCACCAGATCCTCTGGATGGCCAACAACAGGGCATGGAGGCCGAGGCCTTTCCCCGATGTTGCCTCCTGGCTCTGGAGTTCAGAGGATCAGTGCCTCTGAGTGCAGAGGTTCCCCTCAGTCACCATGGCTAGAAGCCATCGATAGACCACAAATCTCTCGAATCCCCCTTTAAAGCTGTTTATTCCTGTGGCCATCACAACATCCTGTGGCAGCAAATCCCACCTTCTAATCACTCTCTGTGTAAAGCAGTGTCTCCTTTTGTCTGTCCTGAACCTACTGCCCATCCATTTCATTGGAATGCCCTTGAGTTCTATCCTTTTGGGACAGGGAGAAAAAGTTATCTTTGGCTGCGGTCACACATACTAATTAATCCACTTTCAATTAAGAAGATGAGGAGAAGAAGAGACTGGACATACCCCATCCTTCACTCGGAGTCTCACAGCGGCTTCTAAACTCCTTTCCCTTCCCCCTCCCCACAACAGACACCCTGGGAGGCGGGTGGGGCTGAGAGAACTCTGACAGAAACTGCTCTTTTTTCAAGGACAGCTCTTATCAGAACTATGGCTTGCCCAAGGTCTTCCAGCCAGGTGCAAGTGGAGGAGTGGGGAATCAAACCCGGTACTCCCAGATTAGAGTCCGCGCACTTAACCACTACACCAAACTGGCTCTCAAGAGAGAAGTTGGGGTTTGACTGTCTTAAATTACATACATAACATTGGGATGAGACATTGGGAAAGACAGAATATGAATATGTTGTTGAAGACTTTCACAGCAGGAGTTCATTAGTTGTTGTAGATTTCCTATGCTGTATATCCAAGATTTTGGCATTGTAGGACCTGACATTTTGCCAGCAGCTGTGACTGGCATCCTGGGAGGTATAACACAGAAAGATGGAGTTCTCTCTGTGTCAAGGTGAGAAGTTCACACAGTAAAAACCCAGTTGGAAAGTGCACTGAAAATGGGTTTAAAGTGGATTTAAAGTGGATTATGTTGCGTGTGTGACCGCAGCCTTTGTCAACTCTCTCCACCCGAGGAACTGGTTGGCCCACCATGTGAGACAGGATGCCGGACTAGAGGTTCTATTGGTTTGATCCAGCAGGGCTGTTATGGTCTTAAATTGCCAGTGACCTGGCAGCCCTTCAAACACATGCACAGTCCTTACCCAGAGAGACAGTGCCTCCCTCCTCCTCTTCCTTGATGACCCAGTTCAGCATCTGGCCTCTGCTTGGGACCAATACAGCCAACGCAGGGAAGCCTGCAGCCCTTTCTTATGGTGGTGGTGGTGGGAACCAGACAGGAAAGTAGAGGTGCCAACAAACAGAGATGGGTATAGAGTTGCCCGTCTCCAGGTGGCACCCGGATTAAAACTGATCTCCAGAATACAGAGGTATGTTCCTCTGGAAGAAAATAGGTTTAGAGAGTGAACTTTATGGGATCTCAGGTGGTGGTGGGGGAGGAAGGCAGCCTTTCCGATGCTGGGTAGGGTCGCCACTGGCAGTGTTCCCTCTAAGTTGAGTGAGTGTGAGCTAGCTCACAGTATTTTAGCCTCCGGCTCACACATTTTTGTCTTAGCTCAGGAAGGAGGGCTCCAGAGCAAACTCATTTATGCAGCAGCCAAACAGCTCGCTCACAACTTGAATGCCAGGAGCCCACAAAGTAGAATGTTTGCTCACAAGACTCCACAGCTTAGAGGGAACATAGGTTGCCAGCCTCCAGGTGGGGCCTGGAGATCTCCCGCTTTTGCAACTGATCTCCAGCCGACAGAGATCAGCTCCCCTGGAGAAAATGGATGCTTTGAAGGGGAGGACTCTATGGCATTGGACCATGCTGAGCCCCCCCCCCTCACCAAACCCCACCCTCTCCTGGATCCACCCCCCAAAGTCTCCAGGTGTTTTCCAACCCAGACTTGGCAACCTTAGGGAGAGGCTCTTTCTTGGCCAAACCGTTCTGGTATCCACCAGCAATTCTCTCTCTCGTTCTCTTGCATATTTACCTTATCGACTTTGCATCAGGAGGGAAAGTCGAGCTTCTCCCAGAGAAAATGCAGGATCCGTTTTACTAGAGGCGGGGGTACGAGGGAAAAAGGTCAGGCAGGAAAGGGCCCCCCCCCCCCCATGATCCCCCCCCTTCCAACTCTGTCTTTGCCCGCTAGGAAGCCCAGCTCTGTGGATTTAACTCTTAGAAGACCCAGAGGTAAATCCCTCTCTGGAGAATGGCAAAATCTGCAGGTTTGTGGGGTTTTTTTGTAACCCCATTGCTGCAAATTCCACCTATTGCTGTTCTCTGATAAGCCTGCATTGCTGTTCCGGATCTAGTTTTAGTACATTTGTTTGCTCCGGGTGTGTGTGTGTGTGTAATGTATTATTATTGAATTGCGTCTTTTTGAAAAACCGGAGTGAATTCGCACCAGGCTCGGAGGAAAAGCACCAAAAAGAGCAAAGCCTCCCTCGCATCAACCGCAGCTGGGGGGAGGGAGACACTCTCGCCCGCTTTCGGCCGTCAATCTCTCTTGCAAGGCGAGAGAGCTGCCCCCCCTTCTTTATGCAGGCAGGCAATGCACGGGGTAAAGGGCAAGTCTGCATTTCTAGGGGGACAGCCAGGAAGGCGGGACTTCCACCAAGGGAGATGGGGGGATGCAAGGCTGGAAAGTGGGGGAGGGGAGGAGAAATGGGGGGGGGGGGGCCGGCCAGTGAACCGGCAGAAGCTGAAAGAGGCAAAACAGAATCCAGCAACAACCCAAAAAGCAATTGGGGGGTATCTATTGGACCATCTCCTCTGTTATGTCCCCAGGAGAGCTTTTAGACAGCAATCTACTGGTGATCCCCGGCCCTAAAGACATCTGCCTGTCCTCGACCAGGAAAAGGCACTGTATAAATAACGTAGACCATGGAGTGCAGGAAGGTCATGCAAAGGAAATGTATATTATAACAAATGCAAAATGAACAAAAATAACAAGGGACCACATATATCAGTAAAGCAAGATTACATCATAAAATGTGCAAGTCCATAAATAGTATAAAAAAGGTAAAGGTTCCCTTGCTCGAAAGCCAGTCGAATCCGACTCTAGGGTTGCGGTGCTCATCTCCGTTTCAAAGCCGAAGAGCCGGCGCCGTCCGAAGACGTTTCCGTGGTCATGTGGCCGGCATGACTAAACACCGAGGCGCACGGAACGCTGTGACCTTCCCACCGAAGCGGTACCTATTTATCTACTTGCAATTTCTTGCTTTCGAACTGCTAGGTTGGCAGGAGCTGGAACTAGAGACAGGAGCCCACTCCGTCATGCGGCAACCCGGGTCTCGAACTGCTGAACTACCGACCTTCCACAGCCTGCAGTTCAGCGTCTTAACCACTTGAGCCACCGCAGCTCCTACACACACACACATATACACGCATACATACACGCATACATACATAGATATATAAATATACACACAGAGAGATGGGCTTTTTAAGTTGGGGGGCATTTAAATTTCTTAGGGGGCACTGACTTTCTGGCCTTTCATGCCAGACAGCTGCGTGCAGGACTACCCGGCTCCTTCCCTGCACCTGCCTCTGCTCGGGGGTCCTGGGCTGGATGGGAAGCCAGGGGAGGTTTTGCCATTAAGTCAGGGGGGCTAGCCCTGAGATGCACCACTGTAGCTATGAGCCTGCACATATATCTGACATTTGCACTGGAAGAAGTGAGCTCTGACTCATGGAAACTGGTACTAGAATCAGAGGTGTTGGTCTTCTGGACTTCTGTTTTATTTTGTTCCCGTACACAAAACCTGAAACGAGTGAATAAGTAGCAGGAGGCAGAAAGTAGTCGTTAACCTGCGTTATTTCCAGGCTCAGCCTGTGTTGGCGAGACCGATCTTTCGAATCTTACTCCGGGAACGACACTTCCAGGAAAAGAAAGAACTTGGACACCAGGTTCATACATTTTATGGGATTTTATTAGTACGTATGCTCTAGCAAAGATTCTCTCTCTCTCTCTTTTTTTGCATTTGTTTACTTTTAATATTTACATGAGAGTGATATAGATGTAAATGGCAAAGCAGTTGAGCTACTGCTGTCTCTGGGAGGCACGCCATCTCCGTCACACCTCCGTGCTTTGCTGTCTCTGGGAGGCATGCCATCTCCGTCACACCTCCGTGTTTTTATTTCGTCAAAGAGCTTTTGGGCAGTCGAATGTTCCAGGTCATCTTCTCTCAATGAACAGTGAATATGTTTTTCTCCAGTTGCATGAATGATTTTCCAGGTGAGATGGGTGCCTTTAATTTTAATTGCATTCAGAATTTCCACAACATTGCCCAGCACAGGAAAATACATTGAGAGCATGTAGCTTAGCTTAACCTAATAGTTTAGCTTAACCTAAAATATCCTTGCCTATAGTGAAGCATCAATTTTATTTATAGCAGCATGAAGCATAAAGTGGCACAGAGCGTGACAGGCAACATAAGAGCATAGCAAGCAGCAGCATATGAATCTGACCAATCCTCCAGGGAGAAAGGGTAGTGAAGCGCATTAAAAGCTGGCCCAGAGGAGGCTTGGTAGGAAAAGGCCTTACCTCCAAGAGGTTGTCCTTCAGATGGATACCTGAAAGACAGGAAGTGGGGGAGAGAGGCTTTGGATCCTCTCGACCTGACTTCCCATTGGATATCCCCCTATTCTTATAGAAGAAGAAGAAGAGAAGAGATTGGATTTATACCCCGCCCTTCACTACCCAAAGATGTCTCAGAGCGGCTTACAAACTCCTTTCCCCTCCCCACAACAGACACCCTGGGAGGTGGGTGGGGCTGAGAGAGCTCTGACAGAAACTGCACTTTTTCAAGAACAGCTCTTATCAGAACTATGGCTTGCCCAAGGTCATCCAGCCAGGTGCAAGTGGAGGAGTAGGGACTCAAACCCGGTTCTCCCAGATTAGAGTCTGTGCACTTAACCACAACACCAAACTGGCTCTCTATTATACTCTGTTCGGCTCGTCTGCCCACTCTTCCGAGTTCCAACCCAATCAGATTCTCACAACTACTCTTGATCTTTTACCAACTTGGTGACATACCATTATTGGCAAAAATTATCAGATGGCCATGAAAAACACACGTGTCCTGTCTAAGTTTTCCCTTGCCGAGAACACGTCAACATTGCTAGGTCAGGTTGTCCATTGCTGGCCATTCCTAAACCCACTTCTGCTTTGGCTCAGCACTGTCGACGTGGCCTGTATCCTGACAACACCCATCTTAGAATCAAACCTTCTATGGCAATCCTCTACTTCGTCTCTTAGCTTCCCCCAAAAAACATCCCTTCAGGAGTTCCTGGTTACTGGCAATAATAGATACCATAGTGTACAGTGTGCATAGCGTAAGTGTGTAATGTATGCAAGCTTGCATAGGTATATAGCATTAATCTGCATGGCATAGCACAGCTTTGTAGTTACATGTAACTAGCATTTAAAATACATCAAACCTGCAGCACCACAATGGCAGGTTGATGGGAAGAATTACAACAAAATGCAGAGACAGAAAAGCAGAATGTGCATCTATTACGGGAAGAACTCAACTCTGCTACCAGTGAAGAGGAGCTTCCAGAGAGCAAGTGGAAAAACTCTTTGGAAAACTGGAGCCCTCTGTTTAATAATGTTAAGGAAGAATTGCTGAACTACAAAGTCCGGGTAGAATCTTTGGGGCAACCCAAACATGATGGCCGCCCCTCTGCCAATCTTGCCAAACGTGAACTGAATGCCTACCTTAATGGCACCCAACTTACACACAACCATACGCCGAAGGACCCTGGCATTACCCTGGGCAGGACCTTGAGCTATAAACACCATCTTACCAATGTAGCAGTGAAAATACATATGCAAAACAACAAACCCCCCAAATTATGTGGTACAACGTGGGGTGCATCTGCTACAACACTTAGATGCTCAGCTCTGGGTTTAAGAACATAAGAGAAGTCCTATTGGATCAGGCCAATGGCCCATCCAGTCCAACACCATGTGTCACACAGTGGCCAAAAATACCAGGGGCCACCAGGAGGTCCAGAAGTGGGGCCAGGACACTAGGAGCCCTCCCACTGTTGACCCCCCCCCCCAAGCACCAAGAAGACAGAGCATCACCTGCCCCAGCCTGAGAGTCCCTATCTATACCTTGTGGCTAATAGCCACTGATGGACCTCTGCTCCATATGTTTTTCTAATCCCCTCTGGAAGCTTTCTATGCTTGTAGCTGCCACCACTTCCTGCGGCAGTGAATTCCACATGTTAATTACTCTTTGGGTGAAGAAATATTTCCTTTTATCTGTTCTAAACCGACTGCTCATTAATTCATTGAGTGCCCCAGGGGTCTTGTATTGTGAGAAAGGAAGATAAGTACTTCTTTCTCTACCATTTCTATCCCATGCATAATTTTGTGAACCTCTGTCATGTCACCACTCAGAGTCATTTCCCCAGGCTAAAGAGCCCTAACCTCTTTAATGTTTCTCCATAGCGAAATTGTTCCATCCCCTTAATCATTTTAGTTGCCCTTTTCTGCATCTTTGCCAATGCTAGATCTTTTTTGAGGTGCAGTGACCAAGAAAAAGAAGAAGAGATTGGATTTATCCCCTGCCCTTCACTACCCAAAGGTGTCTCAGAGCGGCTTACAAACTCTTTTCCCTTCCCCCTCCCCACAACAGACACCCTGTGAGCAGTGTTCCCTCTAAGCTGACTTAGTGTGAGCTAGCTCATAGTTTTTTAGCCTCCGGCGCACACACATTTGCCTTAGCTCAGGAAGGATGGCTCCAGAGCAAACTAATTTATGCAGCAGCCAAATCGCTCGCTCACAAATTTAATGCCAGTAGCTCACAAAGTAGGATTTCTGCTCACAAGACTCCACAGCTTAGAGGGAACACTGCCTGTGAGGTAGGTGGGGCTGAGAGAGCTCTGACAGAAACTGCTCTTTTTCAAGGACAGCCCTTATCAGAACTATGGCTTGCCCAAGGTCATCCAGCCAGGTGCAAGTGGAGGAGTGGGGAATCAAACCCGGTTCTCCCAGATTAGAGTCCGTGCACTCAACCACTACACCAAACTGGCTCTCGGGAGGGAGGGGGGATTAGGAGGGTATTCCAAATGAGACTGCACTATAAATTTATACAGGGGCATTATGATTTGTTTTCAGTTCACTTCCTAATAACCCCCAGCATAGCATTGGCCTTTTCCATTGCCATTGCATACTGAGTCAACGTTTTCAGTGAGTTATTTACGATGACTCCAAGTTCTCCTGGCCAGTTACCACCAGTTCTGAGGCTTCCTGATACGTGTGCGATTTAGTTTCTTGCAATCTGGCCACAAGTAACTTTAGTTGTAGCCAGTTATCTGGGGTGGAACATTTTCCAATGCTGTAAGAACATCAGAACATAAGAGGAGCCAATGTTGGGTCAGGCCAATGGCCCATCCAGTCCAAAACTCTGTGTCACACAGTGGTCTGAAATGCCAGGTGCCATCAGGAGGTCCAGCAGTGGGGCCAGGACACCAGAAGCCCTCCCACTGTTGCCTCCCCCCCAAGCACCAAGAATACAGAGCATCATTTGCCCCAGACTGAGAGTTCATAAGAACATCAGAGAAGCCAATGTTGGGTCAGGTCAAAGGCCCATCCAGTCCAACACTCTGTGTCACACAATGGCCAGAAATACCAGGTAGAAACAAAAAGGGGAAAAAACTGAACCTTACAATAAAATCCAGAACAAAACAAAGGTTAGTGAAAAGGAGGGCCAATATTAAAACCTTTCTATTAAAAGTAAAAAGAGGTACATGTATTTATTAATAATAACAAATTTTAAAACATATATAGAGGCCCATTTACAATCAATGTATATAAAACATAACAATATCAAGGGCTTAAATGATTGACCTTACGCATTTCGGCCAAACAGGCCTTCCTCAGAGGTCATACAAATGTGGCAAGATGGTTAATAAATATATTCATATAAACACAATCAGAAATGTATACAAAGTGTAGATTCAATAAGGACCATAGAGTAAATCGTTCAAAAGTAAAATCACCAGGCACAGGGTAAATATGCACATAAAACCTTTAAAGTGCAATCAGTAGCCCAGTGATTATAAAATAAACTTGCAGTCCAAAAATTTCCTTCTTTGATTGTGTTGCCACAGTATTCACAAGTAAAAAGCAGTGTGAATACTTGTGAATACTGTGGCAACACAATCGGAGCCCCTATCTATACCTTGTGGCTAATAGCCACTGATGAACCTCTATAGTTGTCAGGGGTGTTGTGCCGCAAGTCAATCTTGTTAAGACACTCTAAATGTGGGATATGAAGCAGGGACAAGTTGCAGTGCTTGTACATGGTCCAGGTTAGTAAATGTAGTGAATTTGCCTCCTTTTCTCACACTATTTAAAGTTTGATGACACTATTTAAATAGTTAAAATTATTTATTTACATTTGAATTGAAATGTTTTTTCAGAAAACTTTCCCGAGAGCCAGTTTGGTGTAGTGGTTAAGCGCGCGGACTCTAATCTGGGAGAACCGGGTTTGATTCCCCACTCCTCCACATGCAGCTGCTGGGTGACCTTGGGCAAGCCACAGTTCTCTCAGAGCTGTTGTCTCACAAGCAGTCCCTCAAAAAAACTCTCAGCCCTACCTACATCACAGGGTGTCTGTTGTGGGAAGGGGAAGGGAAAGGAGTTTGTAAGCCGCTCTGAGATGCCGAATGAAGGGCAGGGTTTAAATCCAATCTCCTCCTCTTCTTCTTCTGAATACTTTCCAATTAATTTTTTTGTGGAAAACCCACACTGGAGTGCACCAGACTATATCTGTGCTTCTTCTGCACACTTAAGCCATTTAAAACAGCTGTTGGATCTCCCTGCATATTGTACTTCACTTACTCTCGGGCAACTGTGGAGCCTCCTTCTGGGAGAGTTTCAGAGCTTCTGCACTGCTCTTGCAGAACAATATCAAGACTGGCATGGCGGAACATCTCGTCTTCCAGGCCCTGCAGAACTGCATTAAGTCCCGAAGGGCCTGAATGTCATGAGGCAGAGAGTTCCACCAGGCCGGTGCCAGGGCCGAAAAAGCCCTGGCTCTGGTTGAGGACAGCCGGATGTCCCTCGGGCCAGGAAAATTACTTGCTCAATCATTTGAACTGGAAGTAGGAAGCAAGTGGCCTCTTGCTTCTTCGCCACTCTTACTGAATTCTACAGACTGAGGAATCTTCATGAGAACATGGTCCTGTTCACTTCGGTCATACCCCCACCTTTCTCCAGAACGGCGATCCAAAGCAGTTTACATCATTGTTCTTTCCTCCACTAAATACCAGATTTTGACCTAAACACCATAAAGAGTTCTCTTTCAAAGTTCTCACACGAACACAAGAAAAACCATGCTAGATCAGACCAAGTCCAGCATTCTGTCCACACGGTGGTCGACCAGCTGCCTCTAAGAAGCCTACAACCTGGATGACTGCAACAGTATCCTCTGACTCATGGCCCCCCACAACTGATCTAAAGAGGCACACTGCCTCTGGTGCTGGGGGAAGCAGATCCCCATCACGGCTAGCAGCCATGGCAACCAGATATGACTTGAGTGCATCAGTGGTCCATCCTCTCTTTCAGTGAGGATAACCAGTTCCCTTGTTAAATTTTCCCCTGACAAAGAAGCAAAGCTAGAGTTGACCCTTCAGGCATTTCTGTGGTTTCTCCCTTGTGCATTCTTTGATACAGAGTGAGGCTTACACTCTTTCTGATGCTCTTTCCATGTTCTGAGCATTTATACAGTTTCTCCCCAGTGTCAATTCTTTGATGAGTAGCAAGGTGCACTTTCTGACTGAAGCCCTTTCCTCAACTGGAGCATTCATACTGTTTCTCGCCTGTGTGATTCTAGGATGAAAGCAAGGCTTCAGCCCTGACTTGTGCACATTATATTCCGAGCATTTATATTGTTGTTCCCATGTGGATTCTTCGATGGGAAGCAAGGTTTGAGCTCTGAGTGAAGCTCTTTCCACACTCACAGCATTTATACGGTTTCTCCCCTGTGTGGATTCTTTGATGGGCTGTAAGGCCTGAGCTATCACTGAAGCTCTTTCCACATTCCAAGCACATATATGGTTTTTCCCCTGTGTGGATTCTTTGATGGGAAATAAGACTGCTGCCCCTACTGAAGCTTTTTCCACACTCAGAACATTTATATGGTTTTTCCCCTGTATGGAGTCTTTGATGGGAAACAAGATTTGTACTATGACTGAAGCTCTTGCCACATTCCAAGCACTTATATGGTTTTTCCCCTGTATGGATTCTTTGATGGGAAGTAAGACTTCCACTCTTACTGAAGTTCTTTCCACACTCAGAGCACTTATATGGTTTCTCTCCTGTGTGGGTTCTATAATGGAAAGCAAGGCCTGAGCCCTGACTAAAGCATATTCCGCATTCTGAGCATTTATATGGTTTCTCCCCTGTGTGGATTCTTTGATGGGAAGCAAGGTTTGAGCTTTGACTGAAGCTCTTTCCACACTCAGAGCATTTATATGGTTTCTCTCCTGTATGGATTCTTTGATGGGAAGTAAGGCCTGGGCTGTCACTGAAGCTCTTTCCACATTCCAAACACTTATATGGTTTCTCTCCTGAATGGATTCTTTGATGGGAAGTAAGACTTCCACTCTTACTAAAGCTCTTTCCACATTCGGAGCATTTATACGGTTTCTCCCCTGTGTGGGTTCTATAATGGAAAGCTAGACTTGAGGCCTGACTGAAGCACACTCCACATTCTGAGCACTGATATGGTTTCTCCCCTGTATGGATTCTTCGATGAGAGGTAAGGCTTCCATTCTTAGTAAAGCACTGTCCACATTCTGAGCATTTATATGGTTTCTCTCCTGTGTGGATAATTTGATGGGAAACAAGGTTTGAGCTCTTACTGAACCTCTTTCCACACTGTGAGCATTTATAGGGTTTCTCCCCAGTGTGGATTCTTTGATGGGAAGCAAGGCTTGAACCCTGACTGAAGCACATTCCACATTCCAAGCATTCATATGGTTTCTCTCCTGTGTGGATTCTTTGATGGGAAGTAAGGCTTCCTTTCTTAGTAAAGGACTTTCCACACTCGGAACATTTATATGGTTTTTCTCCTGTGTGAATTCTTTCATGGGAAACAAGGACTGAGCCCTGACTGAAACACATTCCACATTCTAAGCATTTATATGGTTTCTCCCCTGTGTGAATTCTTTGATGGGAAACAAGATTTGTTTTATAAGTAAATCCTTTTCCACATTCTGAACACTTATACGGTTTCTCCCATACACGGATTCCTGAATGGCCCGTAAGCTGTGAACTCCAACTGTAGGTCTTTTCACGCTCTAAGCATTTCTCTACAGGCTGTGTTGCTTGATGTGGGCTAAGGCTTAATTTAGTAGTAAATACTTCTGTGCACAGAGGGAACATCCTCATTTTCTCATAACCTTCTTGTTGGATTGGAATTCCACCGACGACAGCTCCATCTGACAAAACGGATTTCTGCTGCTGCTCCTGGTTTACTTCGGTTTCCCTCCTGTGCTGCTGTCCTTTCTCACACTCTCTCTCATCTCCTGAAGAAATAGACAGACGTTCTGCGAGGGAGAAACGAAGCCACAGATTATCAAATACAGTCGATTCATTTCTCATCCTAAGCAGCCATTTCTGGAAAACCTTTTCCCGAGACCTTTGGACTCGACCGTGCGGCTGAACCACGACAGCAACAACAACCTAGTCCAAGGCGACAATATTGGGTAAAAGGAAACCAAGCATGTATTTCCAGGATCAATAAGGCCCAGCACTGCATAGAGCAGGGAGTCTCCAACCTTTTCTAATAAGAGCCAAACCCTGTCAAAAATGCAGAGCAAGAGATCAAAAAGAACCCGCACAAGAGAGCCTATTTGCATGCCTGAAAGTATACACATGAACATTACCAATCCAATGGCTGGTTCAAATTGTTGCAGGAAGGGACTGACCAGACAGCACATCGTATGGGCTTGTCTGGAGGTGAGGCATCCACATTACCGTAGCGCCTCAACCACAGAGTGCGCTGCCCAGTTGGTTTCTTATAAAAACAGGTGGGCGCATGCGCTTATGCACTCATGCCCTTATGCAAATATTCAGTAAAACAGTAAATCACCGTGTACAATTAAACAATATTTGTTGGTTTTTATATGCAATGTTAGAATCCAATTATTAAGACTGCAACAATAACACTACAATAGGCGATATAAAGCTTAGCAGTACATACAAAGTAATGCAGTACTAGTTACAGACAAATGACGGAGTTCTAGTACACTATCCGTTTTGCGTGTCCTTCGTCAGGTTTGCCATTCTGTAATTATTTCTTCATTAGAATGAAGTGCTGCAAGCCATATTTCAAAATGCTGGTTCTTATACAATTTTTGATGTACACTACCGCGCTTAGATTCTGGTGACTGGGGAGCTCCTATAGCAGGCTCTAATGTGATATAATAGCTTAGCAGTAGGCGATATAAAGCTTAGCAGTACATACAAAGTAATGCAGTACTAGTTACAGACAAACGACGGAATTCTAGTACACTATCCGTTTTGCGTGTCCTTTGTCGGGTTTGCCATTCTGTAATTAATTCTTCATTAGAATGAAGTGCTGCAAGCCATATTTCAAAATGCTAGTTCTTATACAATTTTTGATGCACACTACCGCGCTTAGATTCTGGTGACTGGGGAGCTCCTATAGCAGGCTCTAATGTGACTGGGTCTACAGCATATAATAATTGGCTAAGCTCCCCTCAGTCTAAGCGTGGTAGCGTACATCAAAAACGGTTAATAATTGAATTCTAAACATGTACTTCCTGCCCTCTCTTCGCATTTGGTCTGATCAGGCCATCCCGACTCCGTGCCCTTCTCAGTACGTGCATCATTGCACACTCCATAGGGAGCCCTCGTGCTGAGATGCGCTTAAACGGGGAATTGATGAATCGCATCGGGAACAAAAAGCAAAAAACCCCAAACAAACCCGACTCACCCGTGCTTGCGTCTGATCACGGAGTGGCGGGCTGCCCCCGCAGCTTCAAAGGACAGTGTGATCGCGCAACTGCAGGCCAAATTCCTCTGGGGGAAATAGCCTCACTCCCCCCACACACGTTATCTCGCGTGTGCGACCACCACCAAAGAGAACTGAATAAATATGTGTAACTTATCACTAAAATCAGCCACTGTACCCAGAGATCTGGAGAGCAGTGTTCCCTCTAAGCTGAGTCTAGTCTAGCATCCTGTCTCACACAGTGGCCAACCAGTTCCTCTGGATGGCCAGCAACAGGGCGCAGAGGCAGAGGCCTTTCCCTGATGTTGCCTCCTGGCTCTGGGATTCAGAGGCTTGGTGCCTCTGAATGTGCAGGTTCCTCTCAGCTACCATGGCCACTGAAAGACTTATCCTCCATGAATCTCTTTCATCCCATAAGAACATAAGAAGAGTCCTGCTGTCATACGTCTCCCTTGTCCCCAGCCTGACCGGACGGGTACGCAGCCTGATAATGATATCTCCTCTTAAGAGGGGGAGGAATAGCCAGCTGCAATAGATCCCATTAATCTTCAGGGACAGGAGATGCAAGCTCTTGACCAGACACCGGCTGTAAGCAATTTGCCCTCTCCTCCAGCTGCGAGTTACCGGCATCAGACACAGAGAAGAGGGAGGAGGCCGGGCCCAGCGTTTCTCCAACACCCCTTGAGCGCCGTCGCCGTCAGTGGAGCTCAGAGCTCCAACACCCCTTGAGCACCGTCAGTGGAGCTCAGAGCTCAGAACCCGTCGCAGTGAGCATTTGATGGAGCGCAGGCACCTGTCGTCAGGTGAGTACTTGCAGGGATGCGTGCCACAATTAGCAGCAGCTAACCAGCCCAGGGAGAGTCAGCTATAAATCCAGGACGTGGGAAGCTGCTTATTGTGGACGGAACGTATACCTACGGCTGCATTACCGCCCACCTTGTCTCCTCACTTGCTGATTGGAACCTCTGTTGCTCTGAACCTGGACTGAACACTGGACCACCTGACTTCTGGACCCCCGACTCTTGGACTGACTGATGACTCCCCTTTCCAGATACCTGACCCTTGGAATGCCTCTTGACCACTCTCCTGCCTTGCACCTGTACTGTGAGTGGTTACCTGGTCCCTTCTGCCTGGCTGTCCTGTGGAAATTCTGTCTGCTCCCACACCAGACCCACCGGGGCCAGTACACCTGCTGAGTCAGACCAATGGTCCATCTAGTCCAGCATCCTGGCTCACACAATGGCCAACCAGTTCCTCTGGATGGCCAACAACAGGGCACAGGAGACCAGGACTTCTCCTGGTGTTGCCTCCTGGCTCTGGGATTCACAGGCTCAGTATCGCTGAGTGTAGAGGTTCCCCTCAATCACCAGGGCTAGTAGCCATTGGTAGACTTATCCTCCACGAATCTATCTAATCCTACACAGCATCAAAGAAAAGCCTGCAATGGGCCCTTCCGGCCAGACAGTGGCAGTGGTGCGCTGCGACTGAGAAAAATGCTGAGGACATCAAGCGACGCCAACTAAAGAATGCTGCCGGAACACGTCTGATGCTTACAGCTGACCAAACTCCCTGTCGACTGCGAAGTGTGTGCGATTAAAAATGATATATGTTGTCCTCCCTTACCTCCATCATTGTTAGTCCCGTGTCAACACATGAGTAACTGTAAATTGCTCAGAGCCGGCAGCTCTGCAAGGACTGAGCGATCAATAATTGAAAGATTATTTATTTATTATTTATCCTATTTCAAAACTGTTTGTTCCTGTGGCCATCACTACATCCTCTGGCAGTTAATTCCACATTTTTATCACTCTCTGTGCCGTGGGACAGAAGGAAAGGCCATCTTATGGATTAAATATTGGTTAAACAACAGGGAAAAGAGAGTAGGAACCAGTGGGCAGTTCTTGAAATGGAGAGAAGTAAGTAGTGGGGTCCCACAAGGATTGGTATTGGGGCACTGTTTGTTTATTTATATATTTATTTAAAACATTTCCATGCCGCCCTTCCATCCATTAAAATATGCACTTTGGAGAAAAAGAATGAACTCTCAGGAGGGGTGTTACTGTGACGTCTCAAGGAGTCAGGAGCAGCGAACTTAAAAAGCTACATGAGACATCTACCAGGAGGGGAGAGCAGGTCTTCCGATAACAGGAAATCGGAAAAATCCACCCGCTCCCCAAGCAGCAGCCACCCTTGCCAGACAGCAGAGTTATCCCTCTATATATCTAAGCACCTACCCGGTGATCTCTCCCCTTCTCTGGGATAGCTGATAAAAAGGTCTTCCTCTTCTTCCAACCAGGAGATCAGATCAGGTTTGGGAACGACTTTCAGACAAAAGCAATTATTCCTGAATCCGTAACATTCAGGCGTTCCGAAACAACTGCTTTCATGCTCTAGGAAAGGGAAGAGAACAGAACAGAAAGTGTTTTTAATTCCTGCACAGAAATGCTGCTGCCAAAGCTCAGAATCACGGGCCCGTTGGCGGCGTCACTGTGGATTCAATGATGTTCACTACGGTCTTGTATAATAATCCAATTTTCATATTTCATAGCTGCAAGAAATGCTTTTAGGAATGTTATACTTATTTATGTGGACTGTGTATGATTTTCTGCATTTTCTGCTAACACAGTTTGTTCCCCGTGCATGTGAGTAAAAGTATGGAAACCACAGCAACTTAAAAGGGGTAAGCTGTTGGTCTGATTTGTACACTGACCTTGCAAGTTTACTGTATGGCTCTCCTTTTCTTAATAAGTTGTGTACTTCATTGTGGAACACCCTGTTGAAGGATGAACTTTGAAACGTTGTAATCAAATATGCGGACACAACGCTGCATTATTATATTAGTAAAGGTAAAGGTTTCCCTTGCTCAAGAGCTAGTCGAATCCGACTCTAGGGGGCGGTGCTCATCTCCGTTTCCAAGCCGAAGAGCCAGCACTGTCCAAAGACATTTCCGTGGTCATGTGGCCCGCATGACTAAACACCGAGGCACACGGAACGCCATTACCTTCCCACCGAAGCAGTACCTATTTACTTGCGATTTCTTGCTTCCGAACTGCTAGGTTGGCAGGAGCTGGGGCCAGACTCACTCTGTCACACGGCACTCGGGTCTCAAACTGCCGAACTACAGACCTTCCGGTCTGCAGCTCAGCATCTTAACCTCTGACCCACTGCAGCCTTCTCCATTATTCGGTGGATTTTTCTATTGTAGTGTATTATTACACAAGTTCTCCGTTTCATATTTTTCTTATGTGGCTGCTTTGTATTCGCGACTGTCTATTACATGTTCTTTAGCATTTTGGCGATTTGTAAGCAGTGAGTCCGTTTACGACACTTGTTTTTTGCCTTCTATTATGGGAATGTTACTGTGGAAGCAAATCGTCCACTAAAAGAAGGGAAGCTTTACCGTGGCGGCTGTCCCTCCCTCCTCTTCCTACTCCTCCAGAGGTGACCCAGCAGATAAATTTTGACTCTCACTGAGCCACTCCTCATTCACACACACACCCTTCCCATTCCGGTGTCAAGCGCTGAAGAAACCAGCAGCAGAAACTGGCTGTGGACAGTGTTGGTTGCCTGGAGCCACTCAAGATCCTTCGCACCATCTCCAAAGCAAACAGGATCCCTCACGATACTTCTGGCTCCCAAATGAACGTGGCCTTTTGGCACGGCAGGAGTATTACGCATAGGGCTGCCAAGCCGCGGTGGGGGATCTGCACGTCTTCACAGGATCCCTGCCGCGGGGGACAGCGATACGCATTGCACCGCAGTCGCCAGGATGTGACGCTACGCGTCGCTCTGGCAACAGGGCTGTTTGGAGTCCCGTTGCCAGAGCGACGCATAGCGTCACATCCTGGCGACTTCGGTGCAACGCATATCGCTGTCCCCCGCGGCAGGGATCCTGTGAAGACATGCAGATCCCCCGCCGCGGCTTGGCAGCCCTAATCACGCGGTATATCTGCGCACAGCTGTAATCAGTTGGGAACCGGCAATGACTGGAACACCCGTGAAGCCGACCTCACACCAGGGGCTGAAGTTACAACTTCTTCCTGAATGTTATGCAGGCCTGTAGCAACAGTGGGGCTTTGGGGGGCTCTGGCCCCTTTCTTAAAGGCACAACCGCACAAGAATTTCTCCTGTAAATGCTTTTTTCCAATCATTTTAAAACATTTTTTTTTAAAGGTGTGCACTCCTTTAAGCAGAGCGGGGTGCGGTAGTTGACTAATTCCTGCACTGAGGAAGAGGGTTGGAGTAGGTGACCTCTAGGTCCCCTTCTAACTCTGTGTCAAGAAACTGGTCTCCTTTAAGAGAGTTCTTCTGCCTAAATGTTCGCTTTATTGACTATAGAAGAAACTGCAGGCCGCTATTGCAGGCCGCTACTGCAGAGCTCTGGTCTGTGGTTTTAACATCCAACTGATTATGAGCAGAAACATCGTGGAACATCTGGGCAGTGTAAATTTACTCTGACAATATACCATCTAGGTTAATTTTTAACTGCCGCCAGCACTTTGTATTTATATTGTTTTTATTTGTGTGGTTAAATACTGGGTAATTTTAATGTATTTATGCTTTTATGGAAGCCGCCTTGAGTCCGCTTTGCGGGGAGGGCGGGGTATAAATTTGATAATAAATAAATAAAATAGAAGTCATCACCCCCACCCACTGGCTTGTTATCAGAATTGTTGCTTAGGCTGGCAGGAGTGATTAACTTGCAGCAGCTGAGAACTGTCATCTAAAGTGGCTGACAGCTTGCAATGTAGAGATCTATCCTGGTAACAGCCTTCTATTGGCTCAATGGCTTTTCATTCTGCACTGAGAACTTCCAGCCCCACCAGGGAAAAAAGTTGCCCCACAAGCCCCAAAATCCTGGCTACGGGCCTGATATTACATCCCTCTTTGTCCTCCCTGATTCCCAACAATGGCCTAAATCCTTGCAAAAACTCTAAGTCCACCACAGAGAAGCATTTGCAGGTCTCCCCCCCACCCCGATCCTCACAATACATCGTGGTCAATAATAAGCAGATGCTAGAGGTAGGAGTCCCAAAGGTAGAAACAGCTGTACTAGCCAAGGACAAAGAAGCAGCCTTACCCAGAGAGGCCACCATCCCATAATTCTCCAGCATGACTTCCTTGTACAGGGCTCTTTGGTCCGGATCCAGCAGAGCCCATTCAGACTTGGAGAAATACACAGCCACCTCATCACAAGTCACCAGACTCTGCAAGAAAAGGAAGATACGGACAGGGGTCATTTCGTAGAAAAAGAGGTGCAGGAGCTCATTAGCATAACTCATTAGCATAACTTACTTGCGTAGGCCACACCCCCTGACATCACCGGATGTGTGTCAGAAGGCACCACTGGACTGTTTTGGATTGCTAGCTATTGGGGGGGGGGGAACGTGCAGATCTGTCCTCACAGAGGAGGGAGAGCTTGTACCTGAATAAAACGTGGTCTTAAAGGTGCCACTGGACTGTTTTGGACCGGAGGTGGGGGGCTCTGCAGCTTACCTGGCTGCTTCTTGCTCTGACTGAGGGCTGCTGGGAGCAGGGGGTGTGGCTTGTTGCATGTGCCCGCCCCTGGGCTCTTTACTGCCGGAGCTCCGCTCCTGTGCGCTCCTGCAGAAAATGACCCCTGGATATGGACAATCCCCTCTTGCATGTGTTTACAACCGCAAAGGAGACAGGAAGGAACAGGAAATAGGACAGAGGGCTTCAAACATGGCTGGTTGCTGTCCAGTCCCATAAAGGACAAGCGATCAACAGGAAGTGGAAGGAAGGAAGGAGGTGAAGACACCTCCAGGCACCTCTAGGAGCAGTTCCAAAATGGCTCTTTTTGCTTCTCTCCTCCTTCACATTCAAAGGGTCTAGATGTTTGCTATTACTAGATGATTTTTTTTTTTTTTTTGGTTTGCTTAGATTCTATTTCCCTCTTGTTTTATTTTGTTTTTGAGTTCAGTATTTTTAAATGGTTTAGCCATGGTTCTGGGCCTGCTGGTGGACCCCCTGATGGCACCTGGTATTTCTGGCCACTGTGTGACACAGAGTGTTGGACTGGATGGGCCAGTGGCCTGATCCAACATTGGCGTCTCTGATGTTCTTATATTCCAATCTTGTCAGATCTCAGAAGTTAAGCAGGGTCAGTACTTGGATGGGAGACCACCAAAGACGATTCTGAAGAAGGCGGCAATGGCAAGCCACCTCGGCTTAATCACGTGCCTTGAAAACCCCGTGGGGTTCACCATTAAGTCGGCTGTGATTTGATGGCACTTCACACATGCATTTTTCAATTCTGCTTTTCGAACTGCATTTCACAATGGTTACCCGTCACTTTTGGGGACACTGAACAAAAGTCAGGCTACAAATGGAAGAAAGAAAATAAAGGTTTCCTCCATCCCGGCTTCTGTAGCAGCCAGGGAAGATAATTGCAACCCTCTCTGTATGAGTCTTCCTCTGAAGGCTGCTGAGAAACATCAGGGAGTTCCACAGGACACCATCCCTCGACTACCTATCAAGAACCAAAAGGGTGAGAAGGAAACCTGATGGATGGCCAATAATAAAAGCCTGATATGTGCTTATTATCAGTAAAAATGCATGCATTTATTTGGAGAAAGGTTAGAAGATATAAAAGGTAAAGGTAAAGGTTCCCTTGCTCGAAAGCCAGTCGAATCCGACTCTAGGGTTGCGGTGCTCATCTCCGTTTCAAAGCCGAAGAGCCAGCGCTGTCTGAAGACATTTCCATGGTCATATGGCCAGCATGACTAAACACCAAGGCGCACGGAACGCTACAAAAAAGCCCTGAGTTTTGACAACAAACAAGGTAAACAGAATAAGAAGCAAAAGGTGGGTGTGGCTGGATGACCACACTTCTGGTAACATGGGGGTGCGGCCTAATGTGCTAATGAGTTGTGTTGTCAGGGGTGTGGCATAATATGCTAATGAGTTTCTGGTGTTGGGTGTGGCCTATTATGTTACTGAGTTCCTGCTGGGCTTTTTCTACAAAAAAAGCCCTGGGAAGTAGTAATGAACAGATGACTTTAAAAGGGGCGGTACGGCAGATCGGTGAGGACCATCAATGGCTACTACCCCTTGGTGACTAAAGCGAACCTCCATAGAATGAGGCAGCAAACCTCTGAATATCAATGCTGGGAGGCAGCAGCTGTGGAAGAGGCCGTGGTCTCTGTGTGTTGCTTGTTGGTGCTCTGGGGAAACTGGCTGGGCACTGTGGGTAAAAACTTTCTGGACTCGGTGGACCACTGGTCTGATCCAGCAGGGCCCTTCTTAAGTTCTTAAAGTTCTACATAGACAAGAGCACTCTCGACTTCTTGGAATATCAGGCCGTACGTGATCACCGCCAGATCGCAGGAGGCCAATTGACAGTAACAGACTGGTCAACAGAAGAGCATCAGAACGGTCTCTTCCTGCCAGAAGACCGGTGGATTTTATGGCCTTCCGGTGGGGCAGCTTGCATGTTCTGCAGGACAGGAAGCAGTGGGGCAGAGCAAAATTCCTTCCAGCCCCACAGCAAAGAAGTCCCCCAAGGTGCCCTCTACATGACTCCCAAATGAGCCTTCTCTTACCTGAGTAGGGTGCATAGTGATTGTTTCCATTCTACACTGCAGAAGGCACGATCCAGAATGTGATACCGATGCTGTCCCACTGTCTGTCATGGAGAGAAAGAGATGGAAGAACTCTGATCCTTTGTGTTGGCTTTTACCAGGACGTCTTGCCTCCTTCTCAACTTGAAGACACGGGGGG